GTATGCTTTAGTCTGTTACTCCCCAATACTGTATATCTGTTCATCTGCTACAGCAGGTAAAGACCAGCTCCACCTACCTGGTGGCTAAAGGAGTGGCTTTATTTCTTGATAAAAGATAGAACTAGTTTGTTTCCTTTGGAGTTGAACTGAATACTCTGAATTCTCGTTTCACCTGTTTACCTGCCTGCTCATCCTCCAGCTGACCCCTTATGCTTGGAAGACAAACTAGTGAATGTCACCCTCCACTCTTGACAGCTCTGCCAACCTTTCAAGTCAGCTTTTCCTCCATTCTCCATACTTTCTGTGGACATTGCATGAAATAACTCACCTGGACTATCAGCTGTTTCCTCCTTTGGATTCATGTCTTTTATCAGTCAGTTTGCTTCTTGTGTTTAATAACCCTCTTCAAAGAACATTACACACTGTGTAGATTGACATTCCCTGGCTTATCTGTATCCAAAAGTGGAATCAAAGGACTTAACATCCAGCTGTGGCAGGGGTGTAGTCTTTGGGCACTGCTGCAGGGGAGGGGTGGTGCAGCGGGCTCAAGGAGGCTGAGGCCAGGGAGGCTGGGGGGGCAGGGGGAAGTCATTTGCCTGATGAAGTCTCATCCTTTCTTCAGTGATGCCGGGAAGCAGAAGAAAGAGGAGTGGAACGTGAGGTCGACTGGAAAGCTGGCGTAACTGAGAACGGGTGCCGAACCAAAGAGTCTTGTGTTCAATAAAGCAAAAGTAAACAGTCACCTGAGCATCGTGTGGACTCTGGATCATTCAGAGTGGTGCTGAAACCCACACTATCATGTCCGACCTTAGCCTGCACTGCCTGCGCAGCCAATTCAGCTGCTGGCCCAGATGCTGGCGGAGATGGCGGCCATGCGTAGCAAGCAAGTGACTGCCTGAGGGATCAGCTGGACACCTGCGGGACCTGGCTGAGCAACAGATGCGGGTGGTTGGAAGGGGTCCATTTTCACTGTGGGTAACATGTAACATGGTAGTGACAAATAAAAGCAAATCATCATCATTATCAGGTGCTGGAGTGGCTGGTTGGGGTCACCACATTGCCGCTGCCCCTCAACTGCCGGTGACTATGCACCAGATCAGAGAGACTATGACACGCAGGTTTTCCTGGAGGCTTTCCAGGCCACGACAGAGGGGGCTCTGATGATCCGATGGGTGCGTTTCCATCGGCCAACGAGCCTGGAGGCTGAGGTCACCTGGTGGTGGAGGTGGAGGATCACCTGGCTGTAGGGCAGAGGGAGTGGAGAAAGCCAGCTACCCGTGCCGGGGGGACGTGTGAGGAGGAGGCCCCCTGGCTCGCTCCAGCCTTTTTATGGTTTGAGTTTTTTATGGTTTGAGTACTACTTAAACAGAGTTTAAGTAGTACATACAAACAAGAAAACACCCACAACTATTTCCTGAAATGTTTTGCTTGTTTTTTAAAATTTCCAATATTGTATAACAAGACAAAACTGCAAATATGAACACAGATTTTTATCTAACTGAAGCCTTTCATTGAGCTACCAAATAAACACATTGGTCCTCTCTGTCTGTGCACACATGGCAGCACGTCTGCTGTCATTGTGTTCATATTTAGCAGACATAAGTGACAAATTAGTTTTTGACTCTCTCCCTAAACTAAACCAGCCTCAGCATGTGATCTTTTTTACAATGTTGCATTTTCATGTTCTTTAGAGATATTTATCACCATTTGATAACATTTCTAGAGTAGGTGGCATTTAAAATACGAAACACGATTAACTGTATTCGTTTAAATAGGTAATATTCAGAATACAATCACTTCGCTGAAATAAATTTCGTCTTCTCGCTAGTCTGGACTTGATAAGTTTACACAGGTGTCCGGACTTCCCAAGAACACAGTGCGATCCCTTTACAAGAATGGAAGTGTACTTGATGACATCACAGCTCCGGAGCTTTTACCGCCATCCCCTCTTAACTTAACTGTGATTAATGTTTGCAATGGAAATTACACATGACATAAAACAATGACACATGATGTAGTAGATTTTTTTTAAGAAAAAAAAGATCATTTTAAGCACTTCACGTGTCTGTTTCAGGACGTCTCATCTCAGATCTCTCTGACACTTTTATTCTGTTTTAGCTATTCTGGTTATTATCTCATTGGATGATGTTTGCATGTGTGTACGTATACATGTATTTTATGTTCACCTATGTGTGCTTTTGTGTAAATGTTTAGACTTTTGTATATGTATGTGCATATTTGCATGTACACACATATTTTTACATACATATATGGATGTCTCACAATGTTTTCTAAAATGTTTTCATCTTATCTATTTTAACCGCGACCGTGGCTCAGGGGGTTCTGTAACCGGAAGGTTGCCGGTTTGATCCCCAGCCTCTCTGTCCTGGTCGTTGTGTCCTTGGGCAAGTCACTTCACCTACCGCCCACTGGTGAGGGGCCGCCCTTCTGTCAGTCTGCCCCAGGGCAGCTGTGGCTACAACTGTAGCTGCCTCCACCAGTGTGTGAATGAATAGTGGAATTGTAAAGCGCTATATAAATGCAATCCATTATTATTATTATTACTAATTCTTTTTATTTTATTATACTATCCTTCTGTTCGGCACTTTGGCCAATACTTGATGTCCTTTAAATGTGCTATATAAATAAAGGTGACTTGACTAATAAGCTTCCTACAGTTAGGCACAATATATGACAGAAATACAAGCTCAATCTCTCTTAATAAACATTTTATAGAACGCTTTTTATTGTAGTAAACACTCAAAACTTACTGTAGAAAGCTGGGGTTTGGAAGAGAATTGAACAAATATTTAAAATATAATCTTATCATTTTTGATCAGATTATCTCCACGTATTAAGCTGCTGTTTTTAGATTTGATGTGTAGCATTAGCAACCTGCTATCTGCTAATAATCATGTTCAGATCCACATGATTATTAGCAGACAAAAAGAAAACATATTACTGATACAGAAATAGTTTTCTATATGAGATCACTGCAAAAGTGCAGCCTTACCTAATGTCCATCCTGCTGTTACTCATTTTATATTAAGATTTAAAAGTCTAGTTGGTATTGGTGTGGCGAGTAACCTTCAGTAATAGTAACAAATCACACGGCAATAGTACATTCATGTAGCTGTAAAAAGCATGAAATATATTAAGTAATATATTAAGAGTAACTTAACAGGATACGTTACAAAATAAGGGGCATGTATTCTGTAATCCCCAATCAGACCAGGAGTGACATGTTTAGCTGCATGTTCTCCTTAAATTGCTGGCTGGCTGAGTGGGGTCCCAGAAACGATGTGGGCTTCATAGATAATTGGCAAACTAACCCAGACCGTGGTTCAGGGGGTTGGGACGCTCGTCTTGGCATGGAGTCTGGGGAAGCCAAGGATCGAACCACCAACCTTCCAATCAGCAGTTGATCTGCTCTAGCACCTGAGCCACAGCCACCCCTAGTGGCCAAGCATGTCACTCATGGTCTGATTGGTCAGGGAACCAGAGAAAACGACAGTCTGATATTGATTTGGAAAAGTGAATCCAGGTGTCAATTATAGTTCTATGGAATTCATGTTTATCTTGTCTCTGGCCTGAATAGTTACAGGTTTTTCAAGAGTGTGAGGCTGGGTTTCCAATTCAGTCGTCCTGGCCTCCAGAGCAGTAAACAGGCTACATTTATTAAACATATCACTATTGCTGTCATGGCGAGTGCTGTGTTGCAGGCAGGATGAAGGACCCAAACAGTAGTATTTAGCTGAAGTGTATTTTATTTATGTTAGTTCTTTTTTAACTTGTAGTTCTAAATTGGAAGATTATTGTGATCTTGAAATATCTTGAAAAAAATAAAATCCCCACATCCCCACGGCTTGCCCTGGCAAACCGTGACAATGCCTAATTTGTGGATTGTCGATCTTCGGATCCACATACGTATTTGAGCAGCTGTTCTCCACCGTGAACTATGTTAAAAACAAAAACCGCTCACGCCTCACAGACGACAGCTTACAGTCCTGCGTAAAGATCAAAGTGACTTTGTACAGCCTCGGTCTGCAGACGCTGTGTGCAGAGGTTCAAGAGCAAAAGTCCCATGTTAAACATATCACGGCAGACCCGACGATGTTTGCATGAATATGCTTTTCTGCTTCTCTTTATTGACCACTTTTCACACACAGTTGCTGTACACATGCAGCTGGCTTTAGCTTTCCAGCACAGAGCCCGACACATAACACAACAGCAGAGAGAGCGCAGCCTTTAAGGTGGCGAGGCGCGATTGTGGATGACGCTCAGGTGCATCCACCTCTCATGCAGAGAAACTGCAGACCACACCCCACCATACACATGAAACATTTTTTAGCAGCATGGTGCTTTTTTCCAAATTATTTTTAAAATTCAGGGCAAGCCCAAAGGTGATATAAGAATAACGGCTCACTTTTTGTTTACTACATGGACAATTTCAGTTCAGCTTTGTAATTCATTTAAAAGAGACCTTCAGCTGGATGTCTTTCTTTTTTGTAATTTTTTAAGAGTTCAAAATGTGTTCATTGCATAAATAAAATTTCATTTTCTTTGTAGCACTTCATGGATTTCATAAGCAACACTTTATAGCTGTTTATACAAAGCATAAAGGTAAAAAACAATGTATGCAGTGTTATCTTCATTTTAGATGTCAAAAAGTATTTGCGGCTCCCAGTGTTTTCTTTTCCGTGGAAACTGGGTCCAAATGGCTCTTTGGGTCTTAAAGGTTGCTGACCCCTGAACTAAACCATAAAATAATGCCTATCTGCACCACAGAATGGCTGTCGCCGTCCTCCATCTTTAAAATGTATTACCCTTCCAGGACCTGAAGCTCAGTAAAGCGCCACGGTTCTTATCAGTGTTTTCAGTATTGGACCTTATCACTGTTTAGTTTTCACATTTCCTGTTTTATTGTGTTAGCCTCGGACTGTGTGTATGTTCCACTTCCTGTGTCATTAGTTAGATTTAGTCGAGCTGTGTGTACGCACCTGTTTCTTGCCATCATTAGCCGGTGTATTTAACCCCTCAGTTTCTCTCTGTTCCTCGTCTTGTCATCGTCTAATCCGCGGGTGTGTTTCCAGGTCTACTTCAGTCAGCCAGTCTTTCAGTTTCAGATAGCTTATGTCCGTCCAGCCTCACTAATAAATACCATCCACACCTTCAATCTGCCTGCGAGTCCTGCATTTGGGTCCACTCGCCCTCTCTCTACAGTGTGACGCCTGACAACTTGACATCGACCAATCAGCTGAAAGGAAGAAAAATCTTGTCAAAATTCATATGTGAAAGTTGAAACTCACACGCATGCGAGGGAACTTTAACACGGAGCTTCACACATATTTTTTTGCTTTCTATCCGTAAACAGACATTAACCAAACAACTTGTAACTTCTTTAATTATCTTTTACAAATACAAATCTTTTTTAGGCACACATTTTTAGATATTTTGATTTACAAGGTTACAAAACTCACTTCACAACTAGACAGTCTGATTTACAAGTACAAAATATTTATGACCATAATTTGAGCCCACGATCCACGGTTTGTAATAATGCAGCTGTCCTCTGAATCAATCTGCAGTCCTAATCCCGAGATCCCTTTGCACAGTGTTCAGAAGAGTTGTTCCTTATATTTCTTAAAATGTTTCTTAAAGGCACATTTATCTTCCTTCAGCCTCCTCTCATTTTGCATATAAAATAAAATACATCTAATTTTCTTTTATGTACTTTTGTGTAACTCTTTTCCTCCACACATCACAGACCGCTAATCACACTTTTATCAGTTAATATCTAATATAGCGTTCCATGTTCTTCCTCCAGCAACAACTGTGTTATTAACAATGAAACGCAAAATGCAGTTACAATGAAGATTCACACAATCTGCTCAACTGGAATGTCCAAAACACTGAAAACAACTGACCGAGCACCATGACAGTGTGTGATTTGGGGATTTGTTTGTATTCATTTACACACACTCCATTTTCCCAAGACTTCAGGACGGACACATAGCTGAAAAACTAGATGAAGTTCCCGTCAATCCAACCATTCTCTTCCGCTTATCCTTTTTCAGGGTCATGGGTGCTGGAGCCTATCCCAGCTGTCTTAGGGTGAGAGGCAGGAAACACCCTGGACAGGTCGCCAGTCTGTCGCAGGGCGGTGAAATTCCCCAAATCCGAAAAGCAAATCCAGAATCTAAAATTGTGTATTTATTTAGGAGTTTAAATGTAATTAATTCCCAATTAAAAAACAAGTTAACTTTGCAGAAACTCACCACTGCTCACACCGTGTGTGGACAGGAAGCCGTCCTGGTTCTAAATTTAGAAGCAAAGCCTCTTATCAGTTCACTGGTGCCTTTGTTAAGGAGCACAACACCTGCTGCTCCTGACCAGGGTCTACTCCACTTTAATCTACATGGCCCAATTCAGAGAGTCGTAACTGCAATATCTGCTTTTGTTCTATTAAACACAAAAACAGCTGCAAAGAGGAACTGATGAAGTCACTGCTGTGTTTAGAATAAGTAACAGTGTGCTTAGTGGTTGTGTTAATGTTTTGTCCCAACATGGTTTTCTAATAATGATGACAAGTACAGTAATACTCATTATTACATTATCAGAAAAAAGAGAAAAAAACTGTCAGCTTTATAAAGCCTTATGAAAGGAATCGTTTTACAACATCAGTGTTACATCCCTGAATTAATGTGACATCGTGTGCACCAAACTGCACAGTTTATTCTTTTGTAAAATGACTTTTCCACACAACTACAGTCCTGTGAAAAACTAAGAAGGCTCCATGATTCAGTGCCACCTTTAACACTTTAACACCTTTAGTAAGAAAGTACAGGCGTGAGGCAGGTTAATGCTTCACTGTAATGAACCCTGTCACAAATCTTTCTCTCTAATAATTTTGTCTTAACTTCAGATTCAAGTTTTATGTTTTATTAAAGGGAAATCAGAATGTCTCGTTTTATTGCTACCTCCAACACCCTGATGTTGCGCACTTTACAGCGTCGCTGTTTGGATGTTTTAAAAGTAAAATACACTCACGGTGCGGTTCAGCAGGTCTTCCTCGTATAGCGGTGTCCGGTTAGTGAAGAAAACAAAGGGCGTCCTTGTTGCACTGCTCCTGTTGGCTCAGCGGACGGCTGAGAAAGACCTCTGAAGTTTACCGTGTCATGTGGTTCCTCTGCGCCACACAAACACCATCACGGACACGTCACTTACCCACTTTCCCGTTTTTAACTTTAGCTCCTGAATAAAAAAGTTTTAAATTCGGTATTGGAGAAAACAGTAATGAATATGAGCTGGAAAATGTCATGTTTACTATAATATACAACCCTGAATTATACTGATTCAATTCAAGTCTATTTTATTTATATAGCGCCAAATCACAACAACAGTCGCCTGAAGGCGCTTTATTACTGATGACCCAAAGACAATTCAGTCCTCTGATGAGCAGAATGCGCGTCAGGCAGCTACGTGAAGTTCACTACAATTAAAAAATGAAGCTTGGAGAAAAAATAGATCCTGGGGTCAAATACGTGATAAAACAGGCTTTTGTGTAGCTACCATTCACTACGCGTTGTTAGTTTGTTAATGTCACACTGGCTACAAACTATACTGCAGCTAAAGTACGTTGATAGTCATGTTTCACCTTTAACAACAGCATCTCTGTTCTCGCACTTTGTTCCAGACGCATTTGTCTGTCCTGCTTTGTGTTTCTTTGCTCTTTGCGCTGTCCACGGCACGTGCTGCAGAGACATCTTGTGGTCATCTTGTGAACGTTTAATGGGTTGTGATTGTGATTTTAGAAATTCAGAGCTTTGAATTAGTTTTAGAATAGTCGGAAACTGCACTATTTCAAATTGCTGACTGAATCCTCCACATTGCTGCTGTCTTTCCAATTTGAATAAAGCATTTGTTTTTCGTACATGGCTTAATTTTTAGCTAGATCAAATCGTTGACTATTTCAGAATCAGAATCAATGAAACGTTTTTCATCTCAGAGGGGAACTGAGCTGTCATAGCAGCAGACATACGACAGACACCAAGCAATCATATAAAGTGTAGAAATAGAGATATAAATATAAACATAAATATTAAAGTATTAACACTAATGTTTCTGGGATATTACAGGTGTGAGTGCACAGGTGCACAAATATATTTTGTGGCGTACAAAAAGTGACAGAGTGTCTGGTTCAGTGTGTGTGGGTCTGACTCAAGTAAATGCATTAGTTTGATAGAGGGAGGTGGTGCATAGTGTTATAGTTTGCATACCATTGGGCACCCATTAGCAAGTGTCATTCCCTCAGACTGCAAGGTTGAAGAAATTGCTCTTCAGTGTGTTATGGAGAGGGTGGGAGTCATTGTCCATGACCAGCAGCTGTCATGAAACGGCCCAAATGCAGGCTCGTAGGTGGGGTGAGCCTGCATTTGTGAGACAGACACGCAGAATTAAAAAGGAAACCATGAGAACAGACATGAAAACTTGACTAGACGTGACACATGGAGCACAAAGGAGGCACAATAACAAAACCTAAGATCTAAAACTCATTAAAGAAAACAAGAAACTAAATTCAAGATCCAAAATTATTTATTTGTCACATGCATCGTTATACGAGTACAACATGGGCTCCAGTGCCCCTGAAAAGGATAAATGGATGGATGGGTTTTTAAATAAATCTAACACCAGAAGTTTTGTTCTGACTGATAGATCCACCTCCCATTTCCCAACAGGAAGGGATCTAAGCAGCTTAGAAAGAAAAATGTGTGGACTTCTTGAAGTTTTTCAAGAAATGACCTGGATGACTGAGAACCTTCACAGACATAATATGAAGGGATATTGATTCATCTATTTTCGGGAGCTGTTACGGTTCAGCGTGGGGGACTCAAGCGCAGGAAGCCAGAATCAGCTGTACACAAGAATTTATTTACAGAATCCACCAGGTGTATATACAGGAAGTGCAGGGCAGTGGTATATACAACAAAGTGAGGGACGGCGCTCCAGGGAAATCCAAAGGGGTAGTCACTCGTTCTCCAATTCTCCACACACACATGACCACAGTTCCACTCTCCACACTCGACACACTGATTCACACGGGAAGGTATCCAGGAGGTTTGTAGACGAGGAAACGAGAATTACTTACAACGTTCACAATAGACTCTTGACTTAACTGAGCTGTAGCTTTGACTCTCACTGACGGGTGGCAGACAACGATCCAGCGAAGACAAGAAAGGTAGAAATGGCCGATCAACGTCCTGCTGACCCCCCAGGCCGTGACAAGAGTGTCCCATATATAACTTGGGAGTTCTGAGAAACTGTACCACACTTGATGGTGTTTTTCATTTTGACTTGAGGTTTAAATTTCTTTTTTATTCTAAATTTCATTTGTTGATATTCTAAAAATCCTTTCTTGTTGAACCTATACTGTAGAACTAATCTGTCGAACAGAATAAAGTCTGTTTCTTCTAATATATGTTCCAAGTATTTGATTGCTTTATGACTTCAATCTGTGAAGTTTATCATATTATTGTTTTGTAATATGTTCGGATTGTTCCAGATAGGTGTACGTTTGCATGGGATTCATGAAGACTGTTATTTTTAGAAACTCCCACCATGCTGTCAGAGAGGAGCTGAGGTTGATGCTTTTAAAGCATTCATGTCATTGGATGTTTGAGCTGATAAATGGTCTGAAATCTCCAGATTATTGCATAGTCCCTGTTCTACATCTCGTCAAGGCTCATCTAAGAGGGCGTGTTTTAACCATCCGGAGATGAACTGAAGCCTGTTGGTTAAAAAGTAGTGTTGAAAGTTAGGCAGCTCTAGTCCTCCTTTATCCTCGGTCCTTTGCAGCATTTTTCAGCTGATACGTGCGGGTTTATCTTTCCAAAGGAATTTAGAAATGTACGAATCCAGAGATCTAAACCAGGCAGCTGATGGTTCACTCGGGATCACATAAAGTAATCAATTAATTCTTCTTGGCAAAACCACCATTTTTCTTGAAGCAATCCTTTCCATGAGTGATATGGACAGAGACTTCCCTCGAGTCAGATTGTCTATACTTTCATTAAAAGTGGCATGTTGGTTAATTCAGTTAAATCTGCAAGCCTAGGAGAGTTAGCTCTTCTGTGTTGTGCCACTGGCTCAGCAAGAGGTTGTTTAGTTTACCTGGAGTATAAATCTTTGCAATCTTCCTGGCACTTCACAACGGTCCTGGTGATATGTTAAATAAGGAATTCTTGTGGAATTTGGTGATATAAATTAGACTTGTTTTGCGATAAATCTTTTAGAACCTACCATTATATTAAACACTACAGCCAAAGAAACAAAAAAGTGCTCACAGATTATCCTAACAAAGGAAAATTAACTCAAAAAAGCCTTTTAAACAATCTTATGTCTTTTGGATTACAAATGAATTAATTTAGGAGATGCACTATAGGCACTGTCAATTGCCCAAGAATGTAAGTGTGCACATTGTTTTCAAGCGTAGATTGCATGATCAATAATATAAATTATTGATCATTTTGAAGTAGATGTTCTTGCTGATGTTCAGTTTTACATGAATGTCTGCAAGAACATTTCCCATCCTTTTGTTCAACCACTGGGAGTCACCAAAAGCTTATATTTTACACTGCATGACTTACACTGAGATGTACGCTTCATTGCCCAAGTGTACAAAATCCTTCTATTAACTAATATGTAAACCTTTTCACCATAACATAGGAATGCTTAGTGTTTAGTAACGACTGTGTCGTCCACGTGGCCTCTGTCAGCACATCAACCAGCAAATTATCCTGATTGATTGACTGAGTATTTGCAGATATGTCCTTACAGCCTTTATTATAAAGAAGATGTGATTGTGAGCTTCTGATAAAGCTTCAAAGCCAGAAAGTACAATCATAGAAAAAGTGAAAAATGCTGCTCTTCTTTTTATTTTTAATGCATTTTGTTATTAATAGTTGTCATACATTGTTACTGTAATACATCAAAATGACAAACACCTCTGTACCATAGCTACAAAAATAAAAGCACTTATTGGTCAGGAATCGTCGCGTATCCACCACTAACTAAAGTAGTGATTTAGCAAACGCCTTCTTGCCTGAGACCCTGAGAGTATTTATACTTTTTCATTTGAAGGCTTGTGAAGTACTCTGCTCTCTGCTCTACCGATGTGTTATTATAGGGCTGATCCACCTCTGTGTGTCTTTAAATATTACACGATTACACTACTTTAAAACATAAGGAAAATGATCTGATGCCAATTTAAATCTGTACAGTTGCATGATGAAAAATAAAATGTGTAGCCTTCCAATAAAGACATGGTTGATATTCCAAGAAAATGCTGGATGAAGTATTCAGATTTTAAAGTAGCATTCTCGGCTGAACCTTCTGATTGCTTTGATTCTAAATGTTGATTTTAAACTTAATTTGGTCCTCGCAGAGAAACACACTCCTTACAGCCACAGAGGCATGCTTTTCACAAGTAAAAATACAGTTTCTTTACACATTCAAGCATTTCAGTTTGAACAAGAGGAAGTTACAGCAAAACTAGAGCCTAAGTTAAGTCTAAGTTCTGTTGTTTTTAGAGATCACACACATAGACAACCACACCACAGGAAGCCACAGACATGAACACAATTTCTCTTCTCATAAAGATCTGTCTGTTAAGATTGTGCAGTCAAAGCAAAAGCAGAAGGAAACACCAAAGCTGTTTCCGCCCTTCAATTACAAAGCTCACTGTTTTACTCACTTCAGCAAACAATTGTAATTACAAGAAAAAGGCTGCGTAAATTCTTAAGTTGAATACTTTGTGTGATGCTGAGGTATAATGACCTTTGAAGACACCGTCTGTATGAAGAAACATGCTGCAGGCACTGCTCAGGTGTGGCTTTGGCCCATTCTCCCACACAAACAGGACTCAAATCCTGTGGGCCCGTGCTATAACTCCCCATAGATTTGGATTCAGGTCAGCTGATTGGCTGGAACCAGTTTAGAGTTTCCTTGGCCGTGTGTTTGGCATCATTGTCTTGCTGAAACATGCACTCTTTGTTCATCATCCTGGTAGATTTTTATCAAGAATGTCTCAGTACATTTTTCCATTCATGTAAATTCAGCTCCCAGAGTCCTCAGTGGAAGCTTC